TATATATATATGTATATATGTATATATATATATATATATATGTATATTGTGTGTGTGTGTGTGTGTTTGATTAGGTAATTGCTTTGTAAAATCATGAACAATAGGTAATCAATAAAAGTTAAGTAAAAACCTCATATATGTCCTCTCGAAATATATATGAAAATAGCATAATAGATGTAGAATAAATCACACACCATTAGTCACAACTCTCGAAAATCAATTTTATAGTACAAACTAGAATAAGGATCAATCTCACATTTCAAACTAAAATAAGGAATCATCTAGCTATTATGTCTGAGAGCTCATTAATCCCTAAAAAGAATTACCCTCTAATACGGTGACCCTCTTACAATTGACAGGGATAACATATTAATCATATTTCAAACTAGAATAAGGATCACCCAAGTCATTTTACCATATTAATCATATTTGTTATGTCAATCTCAAGGTGCTACCACATACATTTACTCATCCAAAAGTCATCAAACAATATCATGAATTATATTCTAATTAACGCTCAATTGGTTTGAACCTTAGTTAAATCAATCCAATCGTTTCGATTCAACTAAAACTTAATTGAACTAATCTATAATCCTCGTAAGACTGATTTTGAATCACTTTAAACTAGTCTAACTTAAATTTAATTGAGTCTAATATAAGTCAAATAAATTTAGACTATTCTAATTTAATTCAAAATCATCCTGAATTGATTGAATCGGACTTATTTGATTCAATCAAGGGTCAATTGGATTCAAATTCATAAAATAGATCAAAACATGGTTATTAGGCCAACCCTGGTCCGAATCCAATCCAACACTGGGTTGACATCAGGTTAAGCGAGCTCAGTACAGTGCTAGGCCGAATCTCAGACCAGCCCAGAATATACTCACATGTTAAGCACGTGCATCAAAGAGGGAAAAAGGTCGCACGAGGTAAGCTTCAGGCTGGCTAAAGTCAGAGCCATACATGTACTACAACCAGTGGGCCACACAACACTAGGTCTTAAGCAACAGGCCACCCTAGCCCGTCGCTTGGCCTACCTACCAAGCCACCAGCCTGGTCCAATCAACCTACTGGGCTCGAGTCGAACCTGCACCCACGCTCGAGGTCGCACCAGACCAAGCCAAAGTTCAATATTTTTATCTAGCAAAAAAGAAAATATTATTGTAAAGACAAGAATTTGACTTCAAAAAAAAAAAAAAAAAGAGTCTTCTGTAAATTACAAATATTGAAACAATAGTTTTTTTATAAATTTAGGATTTGATAATCTAATAGTATTAAGGCAATGGTTTTGAGGATACGTAGGATTCTAGGCTTAGAATATTAGATGATTCAATTAGTTTTGAGATTTCGATTTTAGATTTACACAATAATACAACTGAAGAATGATTTTAAGAGATTAAAATTACTTTATTATGTCAAATATAATTTATTTTTATAAAAAATAATTAATGAAAGATGTTACTTAAGGAGAGTCTCATTAAATGACTTGAACTGAAAATATTAAGCAAAAAACCAAAATTTTAATAATTTTTTTTAAATTATAATAAGTGTTATAATATTTTGTTATAGAAACTCTTGTAAATTCTAATGTTTTGAATATAATTTTGTTATGACACTCTTATGAGAAGTCCATAATAGTTATTAATTCAATTGTAGTATGCATTGTTTTCTTTGTAATAAATATATAAATATTGATTGACTTAGTTATAAAGATGCACATATTAGATTTATATCTAATATTTAAAAAAATTGTTAACCTTACTAGAAATATTATATGATGCTTATGTTCATTGTGAAATATCTAGATTTTTATTTCATAAAAAAATTTATTTTGAGGAGTCTTGTAGTTTTTTTTTAATATAGTCTATTCATGTTGGGGATTTAGAATTTTTTCATATAATTTTATTATAAATTTTAAGTTGATTATACATGAATAAAGTTTGACGTAATTGGAATATTATTCTTGCTTATAATTATGAATAGAATAAATTCAAAAAAAAATTATAAGAATATATTTTCTACTTATTATGTAGTTTCTTTAGGATCAATGATTGATTTTCTTCTTCACTTTTATCATAACATTATTGTGAGTGTTGGTAGTTAACATATCTAGTTTTATTAATAGGAGATAATAGTAAGTATCAATTATTTTCTCATATGTAAAAGTTTTGACAAATTTTAAGTACAAAAGTTTTGTACGGTCTTTCAAAAATATATAAATTGAAAAGTATTTACCCTTATAATTTTTGTTATCATATATTATTCTTAAAATTGAGAATATGTTAGGATGATTTGTAGAAGTTAATTTTAATGTTAATAATATATGTGCTTTTGTAGTTTAATAAATTTGATCATGATATCTTAAATTAATTGTATAATTAACTAATTTGAATACAATTTGTCAAATTAATTATTAGATATTATTTGTCTAATGCAATGATGAGATCTATTGAGAATTAAATACAACATTATTTTTTTGACACATATAATATATAAATTATTTGAAACTATAAAAAAATATATGTTTAATAGTTGGATACTTTTTTTTCTTGAGTTACACACATGAAACTTCAACTTTTATCTTATGTCAATAATCAATTTATTTTAAAATTTTAAAAATTTCAATAATTCATTGGATGTATATTTTGATGTGTTTGTTAATTATCACTTTACATGGGTTATCTAAAACCAAATTAATTGAATGTGTTTCCCCAATTTCTTATATATCTTCACTTTTATCATAATATTATTGTGAATGTTCATAGTTAACATGTCTAGTTTTATTAATAGGAGATAATAGTAAGTATCAATTATTTTCTCATATGTAAAGTTTTGACAAATTTTCAGTACAAAAGTTTTGTATGGTCTTTCAAAAATATATAAATTGAAAAGTATTTACCCTTATAATTTTTGTTACCATATATTATTCTTAAAATTGAGAATATGTTAGGATGATTTGTAGAAGTTATTTTTAATATTAATAATATATGTGCTTTTGTAGTTTAATAAATTTGATCATGATATCTTAAATTAATTGTATAATTAACTAATTTGAATATAATTTTGATTTAATAAGTGTCAAATTAATTATTAGATATTATTTGTCTAATGCAATGATGAGATCTATTGAGAATTAAATATAACATTATTTTTTTGACACATATAAGATATAAATTATTTGAAACTATAAAAAAATATATATTGAATAGTTGGATACTTTTTTTTTCTTGAGTTACACACATGAAACTTCAACTTTTATCTTATGTCAATAATCAATTTATTTTAAAATTTTAAAAATGTTAATAATTCATTGGATGTATATTTTGATGTGTTTGTTAATTATCACTTTACATGGGTTATCTAAA